GAGAGAGAGAGAGAGAGAGAGAGAGAGAGAGAAATATTTTGATCTCTAATCACAACGACGGGTCGCAAACAACCCAAACCCCTCATTACCACTAACTGATCCGACAGATCACAGATCAATTGGCATCACAAAAACACACATAAATCAAAGTATGTTTGGCTTGAGTTTGTTGGTCAGGTCCTGAATGAGCTGTGCCTGACTCGGCGGCAATTTGGTGAACACATCTTCGGTGACTATACGCCAGTGACAGTACGCGGAGTGCATGCGATCGGCGAGACAGTCGCCGTCGGTGTAGTGGATGTGCCACAACTCCATCTCTTTCCACGCGTTGTCCGTATTGTACGGGTCGTCCAGATAGCCGACGGCCACTCTCTCCCACTTGAAGCCCGGCGTTACGGCCACAGCCGGAGCCAACAGACCGGTCAACGTGGCGGACGTGGCGGCCGAGGGCTGGGCCGCCGCCCGGAAGAAGTCGATCATCTCGGCGCTGGTCGTCCAGTTGTCGCCCGCTTTGAACAGTGTCTGTAAGTCGAGGTATAGGCACTCACCGCCAACAAAACACTGTTCAAAATAGGAGATAATCAATGGTTAAACACATATTGACTGTTGACCAGTAGTGGTGGTCACAACACCAAAGCGATACTAACCGACGGCAACGACAACTGGTCCCGGCGTTCGGTGTTCTCCACCACAAACTCGAGCACATTGTTGGACGCCATCAGCGATTGCCATCTGATCCCAAACACCACAGAATGAAACAAAATAGTCATCAAATTAAACATGTCTTAAGGCAATACAACTGATCCCAAACCTGGTGATAATCAATATGACATAATGATTGGGTCCCCATCGGGGCAGAGCGCCCCTCCCTCTGAGACCGGTGCGGCCAATCGGGTTCAACGGTATGCCATTATCCAGCTTATAGAGCACGTGCTGATTGTGACCATCAACGGTGATATCGGCGGTCCGTATCCAAGACAGTCGATCGATGGTAATGCCCGCGGGATTGACGCACCGGGCGTTCCACTGGAGGATCGGTAGCTTAGAGATCACATCCTCCACCTGCAGCTCCTGCAGCAACAGTATGTCTTCGTCGACCATCGCCTGCCGGGCGGCCGGAAAGTCCATTTTAGGCATCGAATAGGCGACCGGGTCGTAGTCGATCCACATCACCTCCCAGGCCACGTACTTGTCAGGTATGGGCACCCGTTGGACGCGAGTGCCCACGTATGGCGAGTGTCGGGCCAGAAAGTGGACTAGTGTTTGGCCGCCGCCACCGCCCGACCCGCTGTCCTCCATATCCAGACCCCAGTGTTTGGTCGCCAAGTGTTTAATGCTCTCCAAATAGACGTGCGATTGATTCATAAGTCTCTCCAATTCAGTTACCTTTCCCTGCGTTCAGACAATACACCGAAGAGATTGAACACGAAAAGAAAGTGCTCAGACAATTGAAGGTAAATGCTTTTGTAGACTTCTTCCGGGCGGCGGCCCAGCCCTCGGCCGCCACGTCCGCCACGTTGACCGGTCTGTTGGCTCCGGCTGTGGCCGTAACGCCGGGCTTCAAGTGGGAGAGAGAGAGAGAGAGACGACTAACAAAAGCATTTACCTTCAATTGTCTGAGCACTTTCTTTTCGTGTTCAATCTCTTCGGTGATGGTCTGCACGGCTTCCCACTCCTTCTTCGCGATGTTGGCCTCCTCTCCCTTCAGCTCTTCCTTCCGGTAGTACTCTCGGGCCAAATGGCGCCAAAAGTTGTAGTCCTCTTCGGTCAAGCGGTTCTCGCAATACTTGTCCGACTGGTCCGACATCGGGAGCATCACGTTATTGCGGTGCCGGCGGCCGTCCTATCGGTGCCACAAATACATAGATATATCAATGAATTAAACACAGATATAGTGATGTCACTGAGTAGTGGACAGTGGGATGTGATCGGACAAACACTAACCGTGGTATCTGTGCCGCCGCCGCGTCGACAGCAATAGTAACACGTGACCCACCGATAGGGCCACTTCAGGACTAAGTACACGTAGTAGAAGGCGTTCAACGGCGCCGGGAGTGGCAACCGGTGGGCGAAGTCCACGACCAGTATATAGCGTTGATATTTCCATATGTTGTCCGTTTCGGTCTGCAGTCGGGAAGCGGTGGCCGCGAAGAGCGCGTACAGGAGTGTCATGAGTACCAGTTTGAGGAAAATGAAGTACTGGATGGAGAACAGGTACGGCCAGACACCGCCCACCGGACACACACGCTCTTCAAAGCATACGTTTACCGTTTGGTTGGTGTATTTGTCGATCGAGTCCGTGGGGTATGACCCGCATTTCACGGTACTGTCGGCTATAGGAAGGGGGAGGGAGAGAGTGATAGGTAATTAATTAGTTATTGATTTGTATAATGAATCATTATTAATGATTGTAAATATATAGTATTTTTTATGCAAGGTTATAACTTGTGTATAATTTCATTCATATATCGAGATGCAAATTTAATGATCAGTATATGTAAACTATTAGCTTTCTCTCTCTCTCTCTCTCTCTCTCTCTCTCTCTCTCTCTCTCTC